TCCTTTATTCCTAAGTCTGCGGGTGTTCTAGCCATGGCTAGGGGTGAGAAAGCTGCCTTTGTCCGTCCCTCTCTAGCTGGAAAGCCATCACAGGCCCCACTCTGCACCCTAACACCTGGCGAGCAAAAGCCTTAGTCTGGGCATCAGAGCTAAAGATCCAAATCGAGCCTTTGTAGGCAGCATAAAGGAGGCCTTTGTCTTCCTTGCCGGAGGATGGGCGATCAGCTAAACTGTTTCTTCGCGCCTGTCCTTTGTCGTGTGTGCTGGGGAAGGTGGACCTGTGTGGAGGTGAAGGATGACCCTGCAGGGTCCTCCCTGGCATGGTTGCACTGTCCCCATGCAGACTCAGCCCCATATCCCCTCTCGGTGCCCTCTGGGGAGTCAGTCAAAGGCATGGGTAGTCTGGCCCCCTCTGCCTTCAGCTTGCAGGGAGCTGTCTCTTGAGACTCAGCCTCCGGGTTAAGCCCCACGGAGCGTCCCCCGGCATCCTTTCGCCAGCAGGTCTTACTCCGTGTTAACGGGTCGATAGCATCCGGGATTGAGATTGGACCCGATTTCTTCCAGCTCTCTCCTCTGGGCTGGGCTCCCTGTTAGAACAGCTGCAGGCTGTGCACAGGCACTTGGGGGAAGTGCCACAAGTGCCAGCAAGCTGTGCCACTGAGTCCCATGGCTTGCAGGGGAACCAGTCTTTCTAGTGTCCTCTCTCAGAACTGATGGTGCTAGTTCTCAGTCCCGTGTTCTCGCTGTGCACAGGCTCTTGATTATGCATCGTGTTTTCAAGGGGCCCGTGTGGTAGCAGCTCTGTGTTGGAAGATGCTAGAACTCTTTCTCTGAGCACACAATAGGAAGCCTCTTCTTAGGCAGGCAGGGCTCCTGGTAAAGGTCTCCATGCTCTGCAGGAAGGTAGAAGTACAGAGTGAAGTTGTTTGTTGAGCTCAGGTCACAGGCTGGGGCGTTACAGCACAGCATCATGGTTCTCAGTTGACCGAGGACTCCACTGAGACCCAGAGAGTGTGGGCTCCCTGCTTGCATCTCACAGCAGGTGCTGTGCTGAAGCAGGACCCTTGCCAGAGTTCTTTCCATGAGCCTAGAAGCTCAGGAGAGCGATCAGGAGGTGGGGGTGGGGCCAGAGTGAGGTCTGGCACAGGGCCAGAGCCTCCCCCACCCTCAGGCCCTGCTCACTTCCTCCCACCCACAGGGAAGGGAGGCGATAATTACTGCCTTGGATGAGAGCGCTTGTCAACAGATTTTTAGATCTTTTATTTCACATTCATCTATCCACATATTTGTTTATTTAAAGGCCTCTGCTGACTTCCTTGTGTTCCCATGATGCGTGGGAAGGACGTTGACTTGGGAAGGAGACCTGGATGAGGGTGGCTTCATCATTACTCCAAGTGGCACTGGCTATGCTTACTTTGAGGGTCCTGAGTTAAAGCATCTGGCCTCTTGTCTTTTCCCTCACAAGGAGCTGTTCTAGCTCCATCATCCCCAACTCTCTCAGGCAGAGCCGTGAGGACCCCAGTGCCTGCCCCTGGATGTAGTTACAGGAGCACACATCTGCCCTAGCTTCATGTGCCTACCTGGGATAGATTCTACCCCAAAGAAGCTGGGCCCAGCTGGAGACCATCTATTCAAGGTCATATCCATTCTTTGCTGTGCTTCTGTTCCTTAGACTCTGGTCCAGAATGACACTGGAGACAAGGATCAGCCATATCTCAAGCCAGGTCCCAGAGAAACTAGCCATGCTCCAGCCATCCTGCTCCCTGAGGGCTTTGGTGGTCCAAGCTGGCTGGGCCTTCACTTTACAGGGGGAGGCTTCCAGGGCTGGAGAGAGGACCTTGACCATGCCTTCCACAGAGGAGGCTAAGTCCAGGGTCCTTGGAGATGATGGGGCAGATGGCACTGGGTTGGGGCTGCAGCTTGGTGCTGGGGTGGAGTCCCTCATTCTGAAACTCCTCCCATCCTGACCAGTGCTTGGGGACCAGATGGATGCCCAGTGACTACCGTCTCTCCGGAGCCACTGCCACAGAAGGCTCTGGAAATGAGCCCAGATTGTCCCATCAGAGAGCAAATGGGGTTAATTGGAGAAATATCATTTATTGTATTAAAACATTTGGTGAATTAAAGAAGTCAAGGAAAAATTAAATTGAAAATCCCCAAGTCCCCCCATCCCCAGTCCACTCAGCGGGGGCAGGCTCCCTGGGGTGGTGTTTGTGCCTTGACTTCATGGTATCAGGTGGCTAATTGTTTCTCTTAGAGTTTTGGCATCCCAGCTTCTGCCTATAGATGGGCCTGTGATGGGGTTGCAGCCTTTAGTGAGAAGGTGGGCTTTGGTTCCTTTCACAAGCATGACCAAGAGGCTTATGACCCCTAAAAGCTGGGTACAAAGATTGTGTGCTCCTGGGGGTCAAGGGTATACCCCTAGGCTTGCTGTGGTCCAGCAAAGGGCAGCTCTGTATACAAGCATGGCCATGGAGTACAAGTGTGCTGCACTCTCCTCATGCATGGGAAGGGGCAATGTGCACAGCATAGGACAGGTGATCATCATAGGGATCATCAACCCTACCCCCTGCCTACTTCACATATCAACCTCTGGCCTCTTTTCCCTGAAGCATGCTCTCCTTGGCCAAGAGCTGAGCACCTGTCAACTCCCAGGCTTTCAAGGTCCTGGAGCAAGGCCCCAGGACAGAGGTGGTCTGACTGGGACTGGGAAGAAGACATTCAAGGATGTGGGGTGGTAATAGCCTGAGGCATCATTTGCAGACCTGGCAGATAGCCAAAAGAAACTTTAATGGAAATAACAGCGTGTGGCAGGGCCAGGAGCGGGTGCTGCTTCTAGACACGACCAAGGAGGACCTGGAGGCCATCCAACTGTGCGAGGAGGCCATCATGCAGATGGTGGTGAGACCTGCATGTGACGATTCTCAGATCTCCACCATGGGGCTGCCAAGAACTTCAGAACTCAAGGAGTCAGCCTATTGTAAGCTCTCATCTCTTCCCTGGTGACTAGAGTTGCATCTGGCCTTGCAGCATGGATTCACTCTCCTGGCATGGTGGAGAGTCTTGGGATCCTGTCTGATTCCTCACATTTGTGGTAGGACAAGGTGCTCTGGTCAACCTGGGCCACTGATGGAGTAATGTCTCAGCATGTGACAACTCTCTACCCAAGTATCGCTTGGCTCTAAGGAGGAGACTGAGTGCCTGACATGGTTCCCAGTGGGTGGTCTTTAGGTGGTCTGCAAACTGCTCAGAACTGACCCTGCAATTTGATGGTGCTGCCAGCAGGTGGCAGGCGAGCTGTCTGTGTGTGGGTGTGGGGCTGGATGCTGCATGTTCTCATTTCCTAAGGTTTGCTTATTTATCTGTGTGTGGTACCTGCTGGCAGTCTGTCTCTGCAGAGCCTGCAGATAATCTGTGCAGCTATGGAGTGTATGATCTGAGAGACACATGGTGCCGGTGCATCAGTAGCCTGGGAAGAGCCAACTACAGATAACATTTGCATGCTAATAGGACCCTGGATTTGGTGTAGCTTGTTACCCCTGAGCCTGCAGCTGGGGAGTGCAGCTCTTGCTTCAGGCCCTGACCATGTAGGACCCCAGAAAGCTTTCCTTGTCCCTGGGGAGGGGACCTGACAGAGCCCTGTTATCTCCTGCCTGCATAGAGGAAGTGCGAGTCTGATTCAGGTCCCAGGCCCAGTCACACATTGCCATCTGAACAGCTTTCTTGGATCCTCAGTTTATCTGTATAGTGGGTAGGTACCCTGGCACAAACCTGCCTGTTGAGAGAAAGTGAATATGAAGACTTTTGATAGCCAAAAGGTGAAAAAATCCCACAACAGTCGTGTGTCTGCCACCCAAGAACAGTCATTGTAGGAGTGTGGGCTGTGGAGAGCCCTCCTCTACTGGGGCCTCCTTCCCTCCTGGCCCTGCTGAAGCTCCCCTGAGAATCCCTCCTAGATGCAAGCCAGGCCCAGGAGTGAGGGGATTGGCCTGGTATCTCCTTGCTTTGCGGCTCCTTAACACTAACATCACAGAGCCCCAGCAGATCAGGGGCTGGTGCTGCTGACAGCAGAGGCTGCTCCTCATGGAAGGACTCACGTCTGTCCATCTGTCCATTCTCCTGTCTGTCCATGATGGATCCTGGGGATGGGGAGCCCTCTAGCTTAAGGCAGCAGGCCTGGACTTCTCAGCATGGGAACTAAGTACTTCCAATCTGGAGCCAACAACTTTCTAAAGTAGACCTGGGGCTTCTACTGTGAGAGTCTTGGAGCGTCTTAATATTGGGGAGACAAGGAGATTTCCATTTTATAGAGTTCAGCATACCCCACATTCTGTGCTCCTGGCCTGGGGGCATAAGCCCTTTGTACCTGGGGGATAGCGGTACCGTCTGTCTGAGAGCATGGGGACATGTGTTCTGTGCCACGATGGGCTGGATTGAGGCGGGGGGTGGGGAGGATGGTCCTACAGGGTTCTTAGTGGGTCTGATGCCCTGAGGTTGTGGACTCCATGTTCAGGTCTTAGGACTCTAAGGTGGCAGGGCCCCTACATGGTAGATGGGCTAGAAAAGCCTCCCCAGTTCTCTCTTTTGTCTGTCTTCTCAGCACTCAGCCCCCTTCACTAGCTACCTTGCTCACGCCCATCTGCTTTGCATGGGGCCAGTTCTAGGCTGGAGATCCCCTGTTTTCCAGCAGCTCCTGTCCCAGGCTGTGCTCCCTCCAGGCCTCAGGTGCTCGCTCACTTTCTCCCTCTTTCCCACTTCTGTCCCTCAGGCCAGATTGCAGTCATTGACATCCTAGAAAGCTCCCTTGCCAAAAGGACCCCAGCGCCCTCAGCGCCGACATGCGTTTCTCAGTGTCTCTTTCTGGCCATCCATTCCTTCCCTATGAGGGCTCTTCCGGGAGCTGCCCCAAGCTGCCGTGAACCCCTGGTCCCTGTCCCTGTTGGGTGTGAGAAGCTGCTTCTCCTTTCTCTGCAGAGACTCTTCCATGGTGTTCAGGCGACGCTCCTTCCTGCCTGCGTCTCCTTGGCTGGGGCCTCAGGAGCCTTTCTCTCCTGCTCTTCCTCCCTGCGGTCTGCTCAGTCTCAAGTCCTTGAATGCATGTGGGGGCCTTCTCAGGGACCACCAAGAGCCCAAGCTCTCCTGAACTCCAGATGTCGGTGTCCAGCATCCCAGACAGCCCACACCTTCCTGTCTCCTCAGGTCTAGGACTGAGACCCCACTGCCCTTGCCCTTCTTACCTTAGCTAAGGTCAAGGCCCTTGGGCACCCCAACATCTCCTCCTCTCTCACAGGCACCTCCATCTTCTAACAGGTGCCATTGGTGAGTTCCTTGCCTGCCCCGCTGTCCTCTCTTCTTTTCTGCCCCCTCCATGCAGTCCACCTGCTTCCCCTTCCTCAGTCCCAGCCCCTACCCAGAGTGCTTCTTGGACATGGGGCCCAGTCATCCTGTGCTCGGGTTTAGCATTCCCTGTAACAGCCTGCACACGGAGAGAGCAAAGGTTGGGGCTTAGGAGGCTGTGAGCTGTCATGCGCAGTGTGCTCCCCCAAGCTCAGTGGCATTAGAGGGGGCCGTGGATTTCCACAGCAGACATTTTGATGGGGGCTCTGCAGGGATGGTTGCTGTCTGCTCTGAGGCCTCTGGGGTCTCTGGTGGGAAGACTGTGTGGCCAAGAATAATGCAGACAGCTAGAAGCTGGAGTCATGCTGAGACTTATTTACTCTGCATCTGGTACCTGGGCCGGGAGGACCCACAGGCTAAGCTGGGCTGGGGCTGCCTTTTTTGGTTGTCTCCCCCCTGGCTACTTCCCAAGGCTCAGGCTTGCTCACACTTCTAAGCCGGCTGCTCGGGACTCCAAGGCTCCAAAGCTCACAGTGCTATTTCCTGCTGCTTTGTTGGTAGGGCAACCAAAATTTCCCTGATTCACAGGGAGGGCCTTAGGCCCAGAGGCAAGAGTGTGAGGAACCCAGGGCATGCTGAGGCACCTGGGAACCTTGGCTGTGGTGGTGCCTTTGCTGCCTACTATGGCATCATCATCATTTACAGGAACTCCAGCGGTGTATTACTGTCTAGGGGTCTCCATGGGGTTTGTTTTCTCTGCCAGTTAAAGGATTAAAAGGCAAGAAAAAGCTTGTGCGTGACGTTGAGAAATTGAGAATACAGCCAACAGGAGCAGGCAGATCAGCAGTTGAAGAAAGGCATTTATTAGCGTGAGGAAGCACGCACACTAGCAGACCCACAGAGAAAGACCCTCCACAAAGCAGGGGGGACGCCAGATTCAGAAGCCCCAAACTCCAGTCTCTTCTCAAGGACTAAGATCTTTAATCCTTGGAAGGCTCTCCCTTCCCTAGTGTAGGGTTGTTTGAAGGAAATTAGGATAGTCTGTTGGCTATAACTCTTGTGTAACGTGTCACCATCCACCTTGAACTCCTTGGTGGGCTATCAGCAGGAGAAGGTCCTATTGGTGAAGGGAAAAGCCCTTTCAGTCTTTGTTTTCAGCTTCCAGGCTGTTTTCTCAGGTCAGGAGGGTGAGGAATAGGCTGGTCATCTTGGAAGTTTCTACCTTAAAAACCTAGTCATTGGCCCTCTCCCTGTCTGCCTACTTGGGAATCTGTCCGACTCGTAGTCCGGCAGTTGGTCAGAAATATAGCAGGACTAATCTGAGGTGACCTCCTATGCCCTGGAGCCCTGACCTCTTGCTTCTGCTGACCTCTTGGGTTCCTGCTGGCCGTTGGCTGAGGCAGAACTGGGGCTTTTGGCCTGAACTCCAGGTGTCTGGTGTGATCTGGCTTCCCCCATTGCTGGTGGGTCCCAAGGCTGGGTCCTAACGAGGGAGCTGGTTAAGACTGTGCTCCAACATTGCAGGGCACACAGTATCTCTGCCAATTTTATTTCAGTTCAGGCCCAAGAGAGAGGCCATGTTGCGCTTGTCGGGAGGCTCTCCATGTTATTCTGTAGGAAGAGTGTCCAGTGGACTGGCCTGGCCTCACCTCTGGGAGATGCCAGCTCCCTCCTTCCTTCCCCCTCTGCCCTCACAGCCTGAGTACCTGCCCAGTCACCTGACCCTCAGCCTGCGGCCTTGCTGTCCTATCCTGGAGCAGCATGTACCCTGCCTGGAGACTCTCACTCCAGACAGTCCCTCCTGTCCTTCCCTGGCACCCAATTTAATACTTTCTTGCTATTCATCTCCTTCCACTAGAATGTGTAAAGCATCCAGCTGGAGGCAGTGGTGTGGTTTGTTCTAGCCATTGTGGCACTGTGGTTAGCTAGTGACCTTGAGTGGCAGTGGGAAGGTGGCTTTATGTGATGGGGCTCTTGGAAGAGCTGCTGTAGTAAAGGACCTTGTCGCCAAGGCTTCTATGCACCTCAGCCCACAGCAGGACCCCTGAGTAAGCCCTCGGGGTGTTGATGAAACTGAAAACACTGTGTTGCCTGGTCCAGGCCACAGAACTCTTGAGTGATGAGGCTGTGGGCCCAGCCCAGGCTGCCGGACCCCTGGACAGGACTGTCCCAACTGTGATGTTCTCAGAGCTTCTTGGTTAGCCCTGTCTCAGAGGAGGATCACTCCAGGGCCAGAATGCGAATAGCTATCCCACGAAGCCCAGCACCCGGCAGCCAGTGACTGAGTCTTGATGCGGTATACCCTCCCATCTCAGAATGGCGCATCCTGATCTTGTGAGAGATAAGATGGGCGTACGCCTAAGCTGCTGCCAGTGTGCTGCTGGGCGCGGCACAGCGGACAGCTGGAGTTGGGTCCGTCTTTGTCTGCTGCCAGCTGCTGTGTGTGCGCCAGGCTCCTCACACCAAGCTCTCACCTGATGGAGGTCCCCAAGTGTTGTCACCTGACCTGGGTGCAGGCTCTGAGCATACTAGCTGCTCTGTTGCCATGGCTACATGATAGGCCTGGGAGGGCTGAGGACCGAGTGAGAAGATGCAAGAAGGGAGGCCCCAGATAGAGCATCCACCACCTTTCCCTGTACTTGGCATGCACAGACAGCCCCGCACAGGGTAAGGCTGATCCTGCCCGTACTAGCTACAAATACACAGATAAACAAACACCTAGCTAAATAGGAGTTGGCTATTCCGAGGACTGGAGCAGTCTGCCTTTGCAGGTAGACAGTTGCCAAGCTCCTAACTAGAAAAGGAGTTTTGTGACAGAGAAAAATGTAGTGGGTTTTTCCCCCCCTTCTTTTCTTAAAGTGAAGACACACACACACACACACACACACACACACACACACACACACACACACACACTGAGAAAGAGGGATTTTATTATGTCTTATGTGAAGTGGTTCCATGGTGCCAAAGAAAGAAGAGGAAGAAGTTCTGTGAGAGCTTATAATGAGTTCTAGCTTTAGAAGCAATCAAAAGGAGTAATTGCACAACTTAAACACGAAGTTACGGTGTTTCCCAGGGTCCCTTGCTTCTATTCTCTGTTGCTCATGGTGGGGGCAGGCAACTGTGCTGTCTGCACCTTCCAGCACACTGGCTTTGGCATGCTCTACCCTAACTAGCTGGGATCTGGGTAGAGGGCTCCTGGGCTTGTAGACTCCCTTCCCCCCAGGCCTGGCCTTATCTTTCACCAGAGGACTGTGGGTCAGCTTCTGCCTGGGATTGGCTTCTTGCCCAACTCCCGCAGAGAGGTGGAGAGCGAGGTCTAGATATCTGGCACATATCCCACTGTGCCCGGGAGTTGGATCCCACGAGAAGCTGAGGTCTGCCCAGTAGCCAGTGACAGGAGAGACATTGGTCTGTGCCAGCTCCCTGCCCCTGAGCACTGTCAGGGTTTGCCTTCCTAATGTTAGTGATAGACCCAGCACGAGGTCCCAGCCCTGCTGCACCTGCCCACCTCTGCCACAATGGGACTGCTTCCTGCTCTGCATCCCTCTACCCAGGGATGGTTATCAAAGAAGGGTGCACAGATGCAGATGTTATCATTCCTTCCACAGCGACTCCTGCAGAGTGTATGGGGCTGCCTGCCAGGCTGGCCCAGCTTTGGATGCCCGCGATCACCAAGGCAGTCTTCAGAACAAGGGTGCTTGCTCTGGGCTATGACATTGCCTCGCTGGTATGGAGCAAATACTTTTCCCTGAACAGCGTCGGAAGGGCCTTTGATCGCAAGAGAGGAAGGGGTCCTGGTCTGTGGTGGGCATGAGTCTGCCCTGTCCACACTCCTGGAGGGCTTAGGGTCTAGAGGATGGCTACCTGCAGTGAGCCACCTCCTCCCCAAATAACAGGTCAGGGGTTGCTTTTGTTCAAATTGTTTATCCAAAACGAATGCCACTCATTAGTCATTGACACTTGTGGAGGGACCATGGGACCAACAGGGATTAGGGCCAGGGCCAGAGGATAGGGCTTGTGTTGTTCCAGTACCTGTAGCCAAACCATATGCCAGGTGGTGCTGTGGGGTCACTGGTGCGATCCAGATGCTATAGGGACAGACACCTAGAAAAGAGCATGCAGATGTGGAGAGCATGCCTGGAAGCTGACCAGTCAGCACCCACTTGTCCCATCTACTGCTGCCCCTCTCTGCTACCATTGACAGATCAGAGCTGACAGGAGCTGAGACCCCACCCCCACCCCACCCCGAGCTCCTCACTACCTTCTTGTCCATGGCTGGTTTCTAGAGAACAGCCACCCACCCTGTACCATATTTAAGCCCAGTAATTGAATTGCAATTGATAGTACATGCCGGTTTAAGATCATGCTAATTGCTTCATTTCCCAGAACACTCTTAAAAAGAAAATGAATTTCCCTGTAATATTTGCAGTGGGGTGAAATGACCCTTGTGGAAATCAATCCTCGCTCCATGATGAGCTATGAGTAGATGGGTGTACTGGGGCAGGGGCCACCTGCACTCTTCCTTGCCTGCCTGGACAGGTTTAAGGAGTGTCCCTTACTCGGGCTTGAACCTAGCCGTGATCCAGATAAGGGAGCAGACATGACTCCTTGTCCAGGGTCTCACAGTGGCCAGTGTGGCACTCAGGAGAGGTGGGACTCCAGGCAATGGACACAGGTAGGAGACCCATTGTACCCTTCCCTGAAAGGCTGTAGAGGTCATAGGACCTCTTGAACCCTCTTACCCCTTAAGAAGAGGAGGTGACAGTGTGTGCCTGGCCATCGGCACAGCCCCTGCAGTCCTTGGCAGTGTGAGCAGATCCCTCATGGATATTTCGGCTACTTCAGTGGACAAAGAGTTAAGATAAAGTTTGGCAATGTGGAGGGTGGGAGAGACCAGACGACAAGCTGGCATCCAGAATTCTCCTGGCACAGGCTTCTCCTTACACCGTTTTCTAGCTTTACAGAACCACTCTGTGCCTGGATAGAATTGGGACTACTACCCCCCAACCCACTCACTCACTCTTCACCCACTCACACCACCCACTTACTTCCCCACTCACCCTGCTCATACCCCCTACCAACCTGTGCACCCCTCCCTGATGACTGCTCATCCTTCCATCTCTCATACACCTTCCTGCTCCCCACAGGAAGGAGGCAGAGCCTTTTGTTGGGAAGCCCCTGGCTACAGGGGATGGCTCTATAGGTACCATGGGCATGCTGTGCCATGGATAGATAGCCCCTGGCCTTCCTGGCAAGCCACCACCAAGGTGCTAAGGACACCCTAGACTGCAACTGGGCTGTGTAGGCCCTGGGATCTCTGCATGCATAGTGGGAGCTTGTGGTTCTGGGTGAATGCTTATGGGTCAGGATCTGAGCAAGTGGACCCTGCCCATCCACCCCTTCTGGCCCTCAGGCACCCCTAACAGGAAGGGGACCTTTCCCTGAACTCCAGGAGCTAGATAGCTCTGGGCTTGCTCTATACCACCAACCCCAGTTTCTGTAGCCTCCCGGCTTCTAACAGGGTTCTTCCTATTTCTACAGAGTGACGTGCTGGATGTGAAGCAGATCATCAAGGACTTGGCCCGCAGTGATACTAGAACAAGATGTCATTGGTGGCATTTCACTCGAGCCACCTGTCAGCCAGAGAGCTGCTTGCCAGCCCTCAGTGTCCCCTTTCCCTGGCTGCTGAGGAAGGCCCAGGGCAAGGCCTCTTCCCCCTGTTCCCTTACCCACTATGGACTTCCAGAGTGGTGGCTCCAGACATTGCTCCTTTGAGCTTGCCATCAGGGCTGGGAGATGCACAGCACCAAATGGCTTGTCTACCCCAGATGCCTCCCAGTCCCTGTAGGCTGATGGAAGGAGCCGCCTTACAGTGGTGGGGATGTCCATCCATCCCAGCAGCTGAGGGCAGGAAACTGTCCTGGGGAGAGAGCTATGCAGGGCTGACCTGCTTGCAGGGTAGACAGGGAGAACACCTGGAGGCCAAGCAGGTGGAGAAAGAGCAGCTGGCCCAAAGTCCCAGCATGGTGGGCGTGGGCCATGGGTGCATTGGAGGACCCCATGCCCCACCCAGCTTCTGGTGCCATTCCAGGGTCCAGCAGCAAGACGCCCACATGCCAGCAGAGCTTCAGCCCAGAGCCAGCCAAGCCAGTCCTGCTGCCCGGCACTCACCTCTGCACCATGACACGCAAGCCCGACTTTAGCCCCCAGGAGATGGAGGTGCTGGTGCCAAGGGTGGTGTGCCACCATCACTGCTGTTTGGAGCACCGCGGGGCGCACCAGCACGGGAGCTTCAGGTGTGGAGGAGGGTCCTGCAGGCTGTGAACTCTGCTACTGCAGCACCTGACCTGAGTAACCTCAAGCACAAGTGGAGGGACCTTCGTGGTGCTGTGTGCAAGAAAGTGGGCAAGAGTTCTATCCCTGGCCTTGTCCTCACTTCCATTGAGAGATGGTAGCTGGGACCTTCTCAGCTCCTATCCTTCAACAAAAAGTCCAAGCAGGGATCCCCTACCAGGGAAGTGGGCCATTGCACACATCCTGCGAGCTGAGAGCCTCCTGTGCCAGCCACTTCCAGTGTTTGGACCCCAAGTTGGGTGGGAGGCACTTCTTGGCCTTAAACTTCGGGCCTACTTTAGTCTTGATATTATAGTCAGGAGCCTCCAAGTCCCCGGAGTCCCCTCATGAATTCACTTGCAGACCCACAGTGCCCATAGGTCTTCCCTCAGGTGAGGAATGGTCTGTTTCCACCATACTAGAGCGGTGGTAGCGGGAGGTGGGTAGTGCTGGAAATGCTGGGTGCCTGTCCCCCAAAGAGGTTGTCTAGACAGAACGCTGGGCATGGCAGGGCCTAACTGTCTCTCCTGCACAGCTTGGCACTACACAGGCTCCCCCAGGGTTCCAGCTCAGCTTCTGCCACGTCACATCTAATATGTAGTGTAACCATCTGACTCCGCCTAGTGCCCCGGTGAATGTACTTGGCATGCAGAGCTCAGAGCATGGCTGTGATAGGCCAACTGATTTAAGAAACTGCAGGTCACAGCAGAGAGACGTGACTCCCTGTGCCGAATGGCAGGCCAACTAGCCATGGAGTTTGGCAGTTGAAGGAAGGCCCTTTTCCAATCTCTTCCTCCCTCCCTCTTCCTGCAGGCTGAGCCCAGACCTGGAGGGTGGGTATCCAGGTGAAGCTGCCTTGGAGAGGTAGGTCACCTAGTGTCCCTCCCTGTGCCTTCTGGTACGGGCATCCCACGGGCCAGTCCTCACTGCTGTGGAGTTGGGATGGAGCCAGGAGGGAGCACAGGCCTCACGGCCCATGCTCACACCTTCCTCATGCTCGGGCCTGAGGTAGGAGCTGGGTAACTGCCCCTCTCCTATAGGTTCTTCCTGGGCCGACTCGGCTCTCAGTTGTAATGTGCTGTCCTCCACTGTCCTTCTTGGGCCTCCTCCAAGGACCCTTTGCTGACAGTTTGTGTTCTTGGCTGGGCCTCTTTTATTTAGCTCACAGTGCTCTGGTTTACACGAGACCCTGGCTGAGGTGTCTGCTGCTGCTCTTCATGCTGCCTCCTCCCCTCACCACCCACCTCAGAGCCAATCCTGCTGGACTGCCTGTCCCAGGGAGCTGCTGGGAGGAAGCTGAGATGAAGCTCCGGGAAGAGGACTAGCTCCTTTCTGACCTCTCACAGACCAAGGGGCTGCTTCAGCTCTCCAGCCAACAGCTCTGATGGCAATACCTCTGTGGCACTGCAGTGTTCTTTTTCCCATGGTGCTTGCTGCCATGACCAGTGGGCCCAAGAGATGCATGACTCTAGGGTGAGCCTCAGGCTCTTCCTGTAAGCCCCCTACCTGGAGGGGCAGCAGGAACTCGGGAGGTCCCCCTGTAGTGCCATCTGCTGGGGTGAGGCCTAGCCCAGGCTTCCCTGAGTCCTGGTAGATTAGCCCACTCCCAAGCTCTAACAGCCCTGGGCTCCCCTCCATTGACACTGGTGGTCCCTGATGGCCTGGGCTCACCTCCCTCAGGGACTGTAACTGACTGGTGGTCCCTGATGCCCTGGGCTCACCTCCCTCGGGGACTGTGACTGGTGGTCCCTGATGCCCTGGGCTTACCTCCCTTGGGGACTGTGACTGGTGGTCCCTGATGCCCTGGGCTCACCTCCCTCAGGGACTATAACTGTCTGGTGGTCCCTGATGCCCTGGGCTCGCCTCCCTCAAGGACCATAACTGTCTGGTGGTCCCTGATACCCCATGCTCCTCATGGGAGTTTTCTGCATATTGCTGATGGCTTCCTGCATTTGTTGACTTACTGTCTGAGGGTCGGAGGCAAGAAACAAGGAAGTGGTTCCAGAGCCCTGTGACAGGATGGGGACATCCCATTAGAGGCCCAGAACCCTGTGCCCACCATATCCCTCAAGATTAGCATGAGCCTAGATGTTGGGTAGGGCCAGGCTTTACGGGCTGAAGACCAAAGCTGTGAGCTGGCAGAGTGCCTGGGTCCCCTGGGATACCTGTTCCGTACGGTGGCCAAGCAGAGCATCTGCTATGCTCGTGTGTCTGGGGAGAGGAGGACTTGTGGCCCAAGTGATCAAGTACGTCTCTCAGAGCCACGATGCATCACTGGGCTGGGGTGTCTCGGAGGCCTCTGAAGGCTACCTGTGCCTGGGAAGGGGTCAAAGCCCCGGCTGATCAGCCGTGAGATGGCCATGTCCCCACACAGATCCAGGACATGTACCCCTCTCGCTTACCCGAGCATTGGCATGGGGCAGAGCAGTGCATGCCAACCAGTGTCCCCCAGGGCTTCATGGGAGGCTTCTGGCTGCAGAGCTGGATTTCTGGCTCTCTGATATCCCCAGAGAAGCACTTAGTTTGAATGTAGGTGTGTCACAGCCAATTGAACTTACCCATCTGCCTGTGGCCTGCAGCCTGTGTGCAGAGCCCTTACGGCAGGCACCAGCTTCTGTCTATTCTGAGTGGGGCTATCTCCTGGAAATGGGCCAAGTGTGCCCAGAGTCTGCTCAGGGCAGACAAGAGTCTAAGTCCACAGGTAAGGTCCAGGTGACCATCTAGGCTATGTGGGGTCTTAAATAGAGAAAGGACTTAGCTAGAGATACGATTTCCTTGGCCTTCCTGTGTGCAATAGCTTAGCCTTAAATATTCACCTTTCTCCACAACAGGTATGGGTGCAGCCACTGCTGTGGGTCTGTGGTACACAGTAGCAGGGCAGCCCTAGTGGGAACCTACACACAGTACTGTAGATGCAGATCCTGTCTCAAGTCCCATCCTTCCTTCCAGTCTTCTACATGCCTTCCATGTGGTAGGACATCAGAACAGATGGTTTCAACTTCCTAGAGTAGTAGTTCTCAACCTTCCTGTGCTGCGACCCTTTAATACAATTCCTCATGTTATAGTGACCCCAGCCATAACATTATTTTTGTTGCTACTTCATAACTGTAATTTTGCTACTGTTATGAATCATAATGTAAATATTGTTGGAGACAGAGGTTTGCCCACAGGTTGAGAACTGCTGTCCTCGAGGAAGCGGGTAGTGATGGACACTCCCCATGAAGGTTCTGGCTTATCCTTCCTGTCTGTGTAGTAACTTCCAGATAGGGCCACTGGGAGGCATCCTCCAGGCCTGAGGTCATTCTAGTCTAGTGCCTGGCTGGGATGGAGGTATGGTGAAGTCAGTGGTTAGGAGAGGGTTGGCCCATCTGCATGAAGCTTCTGAATGCAGGGCTCATGATCTTCCCTCCTAGGGCTCCAGAAATGAGACAGTGTTTCCCTGATCAGAGCAAGGGTCCCTTCTGGAAGGGCAGAGCATGGTTGTCCTTTCTTAGGATCTTGCTCCCTGGCTCCAGACCCCCCTGACATGGAGATGATGCTATGCTGTTAACCCCCTGGTTAGAAAAAAAAACACTCCTGTTCCCTCCTGCCTCGGTCTTTGAAGCACAGATCAGCTTGGGAGCATGCTTTGGTGTGCCCAACAGGTGGAGGGTTTTGGTGTAGGTGTCTGAAGTTCTTCTAAAGTATAGGCATCCTTTCCAAGGGACAGCTACCCCTTCCTTAAGGACATCATCTTCTTGCCTTTGTACATACCTGCTTCTGAGCTCTCTTGAGGACTGAGGCCGCATGGCTGCCCATCCGTTGCATACAAGTAAGTGATCCCTTCCTTCTCTCTCTCTCCCTCCCTTCCTCCTTCCTTCCTTCCCTCCTTCCCTCTCTCTATCCCTCTCACCCTGAGCACTGAGCACCACTCAGGTGGCTTGCCTTGGCTCAACTTCAGCTTCTGTTGTAGTGGAGAGCCTGGGCCTGACACTTCACACACCTCAGTGAGCTATGCTTGCTCAGTGGGACCAGAACAACTTGACATCTACTCCTGATTAAGTGGACTCTTCTGGTTCCCAGAACTTTCCCCCAGCCTCATCTGGTCCTGTAGGTGTGATATCTCTAGGCAATGCTGACAACCATTGGTCTTTGCCTTGCCCTAAATCACTGGTGTTCAGCTATCCCTGTGTTGTTAGAATGAGCTGGTCTAGACCCAGGTGCTGTGCGGTTAGCACATGCTCATGTCAAGAGCCCCATATAGAGAGACCATGCTCAAGAGTAGAACTGCAGAAGCTGGGTGGTGGTGGTGGCGGCAGCGCAAGCCTTTAATCCCAGCACATGGGAGGCAGAGACAGGCAGATCTTTGTGAGTTCAAGGCCAGCCTGGGCTATAGAGTGAGTTCCAGGAAAGGCGCCAGAGCTACACAGAGAAATCCTGTCTTGAAACCGCCCCCCCCCAAAAAAAACCCAAAAAACAAAACAAAACAAAAGATTAGAACTGCGGGGTCTGTGGTTGGGGATTAGCTTCTTCATAGGGGGAAGCCCTTGCCAGGGAGGCAGGCCACCCAAGGGCACAGAATTAACAGAATAAACCTTTACACAGTCTCTGGCTCCCCGGCATGACTTGCTGGGCTGTTGCCACTGTATTTAGGTAGAGGCTCTGCTAAGAAGTTCTGTTACCTGGAGACACACTTTTGGATACCCTGTCCTGCTGTCTTCATTGATCACTGCCCACACCAGGGAGCTCCTTAAATCCCTGAGTGACACCCATGTCCCAGCCTTGCACCTTCCACCCCCTGGCAGTTCACATGGGAGTGACTGTAGGAACCTCATAGCAGTGTCTATAGAGCCCACTGCCTACCACCCAGCCAGCCTGGTGCCCAGGCACCCCTGGGGCTACATTAGTGTTGTCCTTGGGGCCAGAAAGCAGTTTCCACTGTGAAGACTTTCTATTGTGTCAGTCTGCAGGGTGTAGCACTAACCCCAAGGCTGCTCCTTGTATGTGGAGGCTCTACCCTGTCCATGTGTGGGATGGATGTGCCCGTAGGGTCTTCTCCGAGCCAGGCCACTGGCCCAAGCCCTGACGATGAGTAGGGACCCTGTAGTGTGGTTTGCATGGTGTCCACATGGTCTACACCATGTCTTTCCACATCTGAACCTCCTGCTGCCTTCTCCCTTGGTTTCTTCATTCACTTGGTCTTCAAGGCAAGAGGTAGGATATCTTCCTGGCTGGCAGAGTGAAGGCTAGCCAGTAAGGTATGGGGACTCGTTTTCCTGTGGCTCTTGCTGACTGCTCCTCCCTGAGTTGGCCCTTGAGTTCTCTCCCATCTCAGGAAGCCACTGGCTCTGCTCTGCTCCTGCCTGTGAGGTTCGTAAGCTCCTCCCACTGGATGAGAGTGCCTGGCTCTGTGACTGCTCTGGGCTGGGGACTTGCGAACAGCCTGTGCTCAGGAAGTGACAGCTTCTGGTGGAAGAGCAAACCTCAGCCTGTTGTCACTGAACAGGGATCAGAAGAGACTTGAGGTCACCTCCCTGCCTTCCTCTGACTCCCTGCCCTGTGAGATGCCTGCCTGGCTTGGGATGATGGTCTCATTCCTAAGAAGGAGGGACCAGTAGCCACTGTACCCTCACCATCTCTCTTGCTCACCTTTTGCTTTCATGGGTCCTGACATTCATGACTCGTCACTCCAGGAGCCTGTGATGGGCCAGCCAGGTGGATATCCAGCCCAGTAAGGTAAGGTAGGGCATGTTGAGCTGGCCAGGACAGAGATGGCTCCTTAAGACAGTGCATGTTCTGTTGGAGGCCAGGTGGGAAGACAGACTATGCCAAGGCTGGGGAGAGTCTACCCAAATAAGTTGTGTGGGGTTGTGATGTGGGAGGAAATCATTATGCCTATTCCCCTTGGGGTCCCAGGAGGACAGATCTGTATTGAAGAGGGCCCTGGTTCATCTTGGGAGTAAGTGAGAAGGGCCTGCCTGGGAGAGGGGTAGAGGTGAAGTAAGATGTGAGACAGAAAAAGCCCCCCC